TGATAGCCCTGGTTTACTACGGATCACATGTTTCTTGTGAATGTGTCGTGTTCGATTCAGTTGTCATTTTCAATGCTGCTTCGTGTGAAATGTGTCGTTGAGCTGAATTCGCAAATACTTTCTATCTTTGCAAATAATTGTTCCTTCAGAATAAACAGGTGTGACATAGGTCAAATTTGGTTGGCGTTCTCACCATCATGATGCGCGAACAGATAAGGGTCTCCAATAAATTTCGGGTGAGACCATCAATCGTTCCAGCGACGATTTTGCTTCATTTTTACATTTTTTCCATTTTAAAAAGGTTTACGTGAATTTATTGATGGACACGGTACTTTGGTGTTTCTTTGAGAAGTCGCCGATGCTTGCTGTCGAACTCTTCTTCCTCTCTGTGTTTGAGTCTTTTCAGTAAAGAAAAATGTCTAGTGACTCAATCCGAGTTCACAACTGTACAACGAATTTACATTTGGATTGTATTCGTAGGCCGCCATTGTTTTCTGTGAAATAAAATATTTACACTTTATAATAGGTTTCTATCTAGAGAATTCCATTAGTTTTCGTGGTCCCCCTTTCTTTTCAGCAAAGTACTCGCATTATTGATTTCTAGGTCACATCAACAAGCGTGGATGCATTTGTTACTCAGCTTAGCTCTTTGAAGCGATTTCAAGAAAGAGTTCATAAGTATCCTGACCATGTAAGTTATGAATTTTGATGATTCAGAATGTGAACGGTTTATTGCATAGTATTTGTTTTGCCTGCGTACACCACTGTGGAAGTTTTAGATACTATCGGTTCATTTCTGTTCTTGTACACTTCTGTTTTCGTCAGTATTTTCCTCTGCTTCCTAAAGGAATGACATTTACTTGTTAAAATTTAAAGTACACTGGTGTGCTTGCTCATTACCTCATTCCAAAGTATGTACATGACATCACCTTTGGCTTTTTTGCCGAAAAACTAATCAGATGCAGCTCACAAGACTGATGTGGGGAAGGCTTCTTTACACTGGGCTTCCAGATGAACGTGTATAACTCGTTTTCGGCCTGTGTGGTCTAGTAACAAGTGAATAAATACTTTGCTGCACATCACAAATCGCTACACAGAAAATCATCTTCCCACACTGGATAAATTGTTGTTGAAATATCTAAAAGGTCAATAGTAGGATTATGTTCTATCATTCAAGTATTCGCACAACAGTCTACTGTTTAAGGAACATATTTGTTTTAGTGTTCAAATCCAGCGGAACATTGTTTGCAGAGCATGGCTTCTCCCCCTTCATCCAGTCCCCAAGAATGTTTGTGAAATTGGTAACTCCATTCTCTTTCTAGACATTCCATTTGTAATTTAGGCAATTACGCAACAACTTCGACACCGGATGCAAATTTTGTGGCTCAGGTTCGTTGGTCATTCGATTTCTTTAATATCAGTTATTTTACTGTCATTGTAGTTCCTGCATTTGGATCTCTCGCCTGTACTGGCCAACGGCGACCATACCCCCGAAAACTATTCAGAAGAACCGTTATGTAGTGAGTTGACTCGTTCTATGAAAATAGTTATAGAAACTAATATGTGGTACGTAACTACTGCTGTATAGAGTTTCACAAAGAGGGTGACCGTTCACATTACATGTGCGCAGCAAATTTTCTATTTATAACGTGGCAGCAGGAACTTATTCTGTTTCTTTTTTGAAACCTTTATGAGATATGTTGATTTTTGAGTGCTCAACGTATTCTGCTCTTTTGAGTTTTGTTCAGGGAGAACCGAAAATCGTCCACCTTCTCCACAAAACTCAACACCTAGATCCTCAAGAATTGCTCATTTTCTTACTCATCGAAGTTTCGTACACTCTCCCGATTGTCAACTGTCTGCCTTCATAAAGGGGTGTGAATCGTATAGTAAACTTTTACCATTCACCAGCTGCATGCTTTATTTTGATAAGGCATATAGTTTAACTATTGTAATCTACTCGTAAATCACCTATTTTCAAGTGGTTGTTCTCCAAGATCGCTTTGTACTCCCGGTGATGATGGGCAAGGAAAACGTCTACGCATTGTAGAGGTGACGATTTTTTTCGTTGATTTCATCCTTTTTTCCTTTTTCACTTTTTGTTTTCTTTTTGTTTTTTACCTTTTTATCTTTTTCTTTGCATTATTGAGGTAGTGACAAGTTAAGAACGATTCCTTGTTCTGATGATCGTTTATTATAAACATCAACTATAGTGTCTGTGACTCGTGGGTACTTCAGTATGTTCACTATTCGAAGATTGTGGCACGTGGTATTCAAATTTTAATTTTCGAAAGCAGCCCATTCCCGCCAAAACGCATCATTTGTAAGGACTTCAGGATTTCACTTGGTCTTTCAAGTAGTTTTTTGTTGGTACTGGTTTTTTTCTGAAATGCATTTTATATTGCACGACTAGAAGTTTCATTCCAACACTATTAGTCGAATTTTACATTTTTTAAAATTGTAAACATTTTTTGCTGAATGGAACTCTTAAGTGAAGTAGGCTTTATTTCAATGTAGTTGCCTTAGGAAGCTAACAAATTGTTGGAGAGGTTCAAGTCGGCCTATTGTGAGTCGTTCTGAAAAGTAACTGCTTTATGAGATTATGAGTGCATATCTCTATATAAAGGGTATCAAATTAATACTGAGCATTTCAATGCTTATTGTATGGGGCCATTTATTTAGTCTCAGAAGGAACATCCAATATATACTACACCCTATTTCTTCATTCGGTTTTACCTCGTAATTGATTGATCATTTGTAATACTCGTTCCGTGTTTGCTATAACTGCTTATTTCTCTCTTCATTTTTCACTTTATTTTTAATAGTACCTGTGGAAGACTGATATTTAAAAAAATGACGTGAACAATAAGAAGAGAAATGTTTAAACGATAAGTGTGCGCCCTTTTGATTATTACAACGTGTCGCATGCAATTAGGGAAGATGGTGAAATATTAGAGTAGATGGGGGAAATAAAGGAACTCTCGATGATTGAAGATTTATGGCTGGTGGGGTATGATGGCGATTTTTGTCGATGCTTACGTGTAGCGCGACAAAAGGTGTAAAGTAGAAGCAGTTGCGGTACAAGTGTAGGTGATTAGCCTTCTCATACCCCTTCTCCTCTCTTCCCTACATCTCCACGCCTTCCTCTTTTTGTTGTGAAGGCCGGAAAATCGATGTTTCAAGATTGTTGAACTGTTATACCAACGAAGTTCATTTATCCACTTAATCTAGCAATAGAAGGTAATTTTCACACTTTAGATGTTACCCCACAATCCATTCTTTATTCCATTGCAGCCAGGTGACATTTTCGTAATGAAAGCTAACGAAATTTTTTGAATTTGGTGGACTCTTGATTAATTCATCAAGGCGATATGTAACAGATGAATGACCATAGATAGAAGGTTACCGTTTGTCCCGTGCCTGTTGAAACGTGCTACTGTTGACTCTGGCCTTCCAGATAAAATAAGTGCACAGAATGAGAATAGAACTAGGGTGTGCTAATCTATCTCATAACTAAGTTTTTGAAATATTAACACTGGATCACCTCGATAGCGTCAATTTACTTTCCATGTTAACACGATAGGTTGTAATAAGCACTGTTCCCACTAATGTTTATCTAGCAACTATTAACAAGGGTTAGCAGTTATTAATAATGTGGAACGTAAAGAATGAGTTAGTACAGGTTTGATATCGTCTAACGTTGGGCAATAACCCTTCCACATGTGAATCCTTATCTCTGACTTCGGGAGAGGATGCACCTTAGCACAGCACTAACAGCAGCCGCCACGCGCTCACGCTGTAACAATACCGCCGGCGCTGACGCGATTCTCTTAGAGCCGTTCTCGATTTGCCAGCCAACACGATTTATAAATCTATATGTCTTGTTATCGATTTATTGATTGGACACACTTTTTTCATTGGCTTGAATACCTTCGTGTATCTCTCACACACGTCATCAACGTCCTAAATGTTGCTGATCTCTGCGATAAAATCGATATTCCAACATTCTTCGCTATTCATTAGAATCCTTTAAACAAACTCTCACGAGCCTCGACAGTTTTTAGATCCAATACGAATGTTTGTAGTTGATATTGTTACGCAATGTTCGCTTAGCCCCAATAAACATCATATGGTAGAAAAACTAGTATTTATTTGATTCACTTCATCAGTACAAACCTCAAGAGGTGAAAAATTGCCAGATGTGGTGAGTGACTTTTTGGACGCGAATATGCTTCTATGAAAATTTTCGCAGTCGAAACGATGGAAAAATTTTTTCCTTTTTTGCCTGTTCGTCCAAACAGTGCTGCATTTTCTGTGCGATCAGAGAACACCCGGTACTTTTGATTAATGGCAGAGGTGAACTGGTGTGTTCCGTTGCTACTTGATTATCGCGTCTAATTCAATGTTTCAGAGTTTTAATTCGCCCAAAATTCTCTACACAGCGGTATAAATATTGCTCCTCGTGGTCCCCGTTAAACCCGATTGTGTTTTGACTTGTGAATTTCTCATTTCAATTTCATTATTGCTCTACTGAATTGTATTGTCATCACTGTTATCTCTTATCCTTTTCCATATATTTATTTCATTTATACATTTTTCTCCTGTTGTGCTCAATAACGTACTTCTGTCTCCTTGTCATACACAGCGTAACATGACATATCGCACAAAGCACACGGGTTAAATGAACAAGCAGCGAATCGTAGTTTTCTAAACTTTCGTGAGATATGTATGGGCATCAAATTTTTTGCTACAACTAAGTAGACGTGTAAGCATCATTCTCTTTTTTAATTGCTAGATGAAAAGTGTGAATCTGTTTTTCTTTCGGTTTACGCGGAGAAGGTTGAAGACGGTTCAAATTCTTATACTGTGTTCGAGTGTTTGAATTCACGCCTTGCTTGGTGATTCGCTTTTCATTCGATAAATGTTCTATCACTTCTCGATTGTACGGTTTTAGGATCGCAATCAAGAGTACAAAACAGCTAGTGCTGCGAACCAGTGGGATGTTTCGGCCGGATTCGGACACCTGGAATACAGTTCTCCATGGCACACCGTCATTTCCTGTACAATTTGTTTCAACTACCAGGATGTCCTATTCTGACGACTTTCATCCACGATCTCAAAGCGCTGACACACGACGAATGAGGCTAGCACAACGTCGAATGTTTTCAGAAGACTACGTAAACGACACTTTCTACACACCACAAAGAGCGCCACTCAGTCATTCGTTACCGGAAAACGCTGTCTTCAGCGGTAGCATTGTCGATTCCGGTGACGTAATTCGGCGTCGATCTGCTGAAGTGAATCACGATGGCACGACGCTACCTCGTTCGGTAAAAACAGTTCACTTTCCGTCCACGTACAGAGAGCAAGTTTCAGAGCAACACACACCAACACAGTTTAATAGTGCCGCCCACAATTTCACACAGCACCTGCGAGAGCGCTCACCGTCGAGTAGCTCAGCGCTCCTGAACCTTCTGTCACGCTATCCATCTGCAAAACAGTCTGTCTACTCTTCCACGTCACCTTCAGCCGGCGTATCAAGTCCGAACAACGATTCCACGCAACGCATCTATCGTTTGGAAGAACGACCAATCGGCACACAGTCTTTTCGTCCAACGGATGCCTTGCTTAGTTATTCCCTTGTGGAGCATTCTGTGCCTAAGTGTCAACAACAACAACAACATTTACAACAACCCCACCATTCCGATTCATCACTACACCGCACTCCACTGGGTTTACAAAAAGAAAATCCTTCACAGTTGTCTAGTGAATATCCATTGAGCTTGCCTTTATATAACAGCAATTTCCGTCAATCGCCCATATTTCCACATTCGAACATTGGCGATATAAATCGCAACGACACACAGCAAAACGTGAACGGTTTTTCAACGCTACATTCTACTGCAAATAACTCAGCTACGAAAGCGTTCGACAATCGATCTGAGCATAAATTTTACACCGATCTCCCGAACAACAGTCACCACACCCTCACTGCTCGTAATAAGCAGTGGGAGGAGCTGTTGGACGTCACGCAGCTGGATTCGCTGTTAGCATCGGTACTTGAGGAAAATATGAACCGTTCTACGACCGAATGGAGCAACTCATTTGCACAAGTCCAAAACAGGTAAGGTATAAAGCAATTACAGTACCCACTTGGTTTCTCTAGTTACGCAATCAAAGTTTAAGTACTAAACATTATTTTGAGATGGTACAGTTTTCAGATTTAAAAATATGCCACCTGAGACAAGTGATAGTGGTCTTCTGCATGGCTTTACAAGCTCCGGCACTCCGACACTACCACGATGTAGCGGATCATTCACACTACCAAAGTCATCAAGTCATAACGACATCAACCAGTCCGATTCATCTGTCCGAGCAATCGGACACCGCACTGTTGAAGCGCCTGAAATGCGAAAATCAGGGGCTATTGACAGCTTTTGGAGTCAAACGGTTAACAGCCGACCATTGTCCCCAACGGTCCAGCGAATTCCGGGTAATCTGACAGCTGCAGAACGCCTGCAGATGCTGCAGGACTCACATTCGAAGTCAAACATAGTGAATAAGCCAGGAAATGGTATTCAGTTGGCGGCACGACGTGAGCATTACTTACACGAAGCTTCCTCGACCTCTGCCTACATCCCACCGCATCGAGAGACAACTAAACGAACAGGCACACCACACGTCACGTATCGTGGTCCATCACCTAATTTCTCTGATTTAGACAATGCTGTTAATGAGCTTCAGTGTGGTGTTCGTAATACCGGCTACCCGAGTAGTGCCAGGCGACTTGGTGGATGCGCTCGTTTCCCGACTGATGATCATGCTCTCAGTCCTCCCCGCGGAAATACAGCCATGATATCTAGGCGCGTGAATTCTCCCAGCCCGACTGATTCGAATAGTGAGACTTCATCGGTGTACCAAATTCCTACCGGCTTACCTCATCCAAAGCCTAAGCACAACATTAAAGAACAATTATCAAACGCTGGTGTGCCAACATTCACCTTTTATCGCACAGGCTCACGTGTCAGTCCGAATTTTCCAGTTCCTACCACTGGTAGCGTAGCATCGCGGATAACGGAATTCGAAAAACGTCCTGGTACTCCTATTCTGCAGATCGCCGGTGCACCACGTCAAGAGAAAAGCCCAGTGGCTAATGGGCCAATGAGTCCCAAATCGACTGTGTATAAAAGCAAGCCAGTAATCCAAATTGAGACGGGATCACGAAGTCCGCGCAGCATCAACAATGGTTCAACAGCCTTCGAGTTTCCTCCAAACAGCGTAAGGTTATAATTTATACCTGAAAAAATAATCCTTGTTTTTTGATTGATAGCGATATTCGGCCGATACTTAATACCTATAACGCAGCTGTTTGCTTTGACGAAACCTTCATCTTTTCTACCCTGTGGCATGCCAACAACTGTTTAGTGACATATACATGCAGGCTGAATTTTTTCCTAAGGAATCAAGGGGCTTCTAGCTCACCAGATACTAAGTGTGTTGAGTTCGAATACGTGTGTGAAATGGTAATGAAAGCGAGTGAAATATAATAGTTCGCTGATACAATTGATACATTCGAATGCTTTTGTACCAAACGGGTTTCAAAGTCATTTCACGTTGTATTAACGAAACAAGGAGACCAACTTTCACGAAGCGTACATTCTATATATGTATTGATAGCATCAAAGTTGTTCTTTAATCACAAGTAGATTCTTTCCTAAAATCATTGTCAAGAAGATTTTCTCATTTCAGTTTTCTATATTGTCTTTGGTGCAATTATGTCCAGTTAGCTGCAATTTAATATTAAAAATATTTGTGTATACACGTCTTGTCCTAATCACATGTTGTACTCATTGTGTCGTTTTCATAAATTGCTTACAAGAGGGGATGGCTAAGGAATAGTGTTGATTACTTCAGCATTTTCTCCTCCCTACTGTTTGTCTGCAAGATAGTCTCATTTGAAGTGAGTTTGGAAGGAAGAAGAGTGACAATTCCTTGGTCTGTGTTTTCGTAGTTTTCAGTTTTCGTAATGTGCTGTTTTCTTTTGTACAGCAAAGTCCTCTAGTGGATCCACACAAGTCCTTCCAACCACCCGATATTTCTTTTTCCAGTTAATATAAATGACTTTAGATGTGGTGCGCGAATCACTGACTATCTTCTGAATCTTATTTCATTCAGTTTGTTAACAAAGAAAGATTGCACGAGAATTTTGCTGCGGACTATAAAAGTGTTTAATGCACATAAGTGATAATTTTACCGTACCTTGGCTGTTCATTTCTAGAAGATTTTTTCCATTTCTTTACTAGTTATTATTGATTTAAACATAAGCTTGATAAGTATTGTTAACAGATTAGAAAATGGTGCTAGAATTTACTTTATGAACTACAATTGCATTTTGTTTTAGAACTCTTTAAACACACATTTTTTTCACTTTTTGTAGGTTCGGAGTTTCATCTTGTATCATTCTTTTTTTAAATTTCGATGATGTATATGTTATGCTTGAGTGGCTCCCTTGAGGCCGTCCCATGAGGTTTGTTGACATGCTCCTAAGATTTTGCTTAAATATTGATGAAGCTCATAGCAGCGAAGCTGGTTTGCGGCTTACATCAAGCTCTGTGAGTATTTTCGCACACGGAAACATTTACTGTCAAACAAGACGATTTTTCACAAACATTTCACAGAATACCATTTTGGCAGTAGTTCCCGAAACTGACTATCTATTAACGTCGATATTAATAGATAATTCACTGTTCTGTTGATAAGCATAGACGAGGTTGTTGTTATGTATTATTAACAACAGCTGACATTTCAGTGGATTTCACTTTCTTCAGAGGCTGGAGAAGTCAAGTTAACTGCAACCTGCTCTGCCAAACACCTTTACAACCTCAAAAGAAAAACACGGTGCCTAATTTTCAGAAACAGCTTCTTCACACATTCATCGTTCTCTATAAACCTTCCACTGAGTATTACATATTGAGACCAACCATGCACAGCTGACATGGTTGGGTAATGGGCCCTTTTCAGTTAAGCTAATACAGCAATTACGGTGTTTTAGCATTAGTGCTTGCACAATGCAATTTTAGCGTTGGGTATCACTGGATTTTTTAGCGATCGCTATATCAAATAGGGTTTAAAAATGAATACATGTATAGATCCTTAGCGCAGTAAATTAGTTTTTCTGGTTAAGGCATTGATTCAATCATTTCTATTTTGTCACTGTGTGGTTGGTTTCTGTTTTTTTTATATCAGTACTCGAAGAAGAACTTTCTTGAAAGTTAGTCATAGATACAATGATCCTTTTTGCGGAATCTTCGCACATAGATAATTTTCACTTTTTTCAAAACGAACTCAAGGAGATCTTGTTAATGGAATATATGGGCGAATTTGGGATAAAGTTTGTGCATAAAATGACAACGCGGGAAGACTTAAATGAAGTTAATACTTGGTAGAGAGGATAAGGAATAGGAAAGTAAAGCATTCAATTCCTAACCAACGGTAGCTCGTCGTTATTGAACGATGGTAAATGAATGCAGTATCAACTCTGGCCTCGAAAGTGTTTGAATTAGGGCGAACGATGATTCGATTACGTCTATAGACGACCTCATGAACTTGTTCATGGTTTAGAAAGATTTTTCATTGACTGTCGCTATATAGCTTAAATCAAGTGCTATATAGATTTAGCTCTGTTCGATGACTAACAATATTGCCATTCAGCAGAGTTAGGTGCCGTCGACCTTTTTTAAGCACATTTAATGTCACTACTCTTACAAACGGTTATACAACAATATTAAGATGCATACATGATAACAAGCTTCCAAACTTCATCAGTTTTCGGAATGCCAATCACTTCTTAAGTCCTTTTTTTGAGATGCCTCATTGGATTTGATTCATTCGATTCATAACTGTTTGGACGTTCTTTACAAATTTTTTTCTCTTGTTCACATAAGCGTTGTCCATACTCAAAAGACCGACCTTCCTTAAGCGACTGTGTTGTTGTCGTGATCTGATGGGTTTTGCTTCGACGACTTTGTCTTATTCACAGCCTGGACGTGTTTTCTGCAATGCTATCCAAACAATTTTCAGTGTTCTTCTTGAAGTACAAACAAAGGGTTGTTATTAAAGCATTTATTAGTACACAATAGCTGACGTTCTGGCAATTTTGCCTTTTTTTGAGGATAGGAAGATCAAACCGACATGAAATTTACTCATCCAAACACTTTTGTAACCTCAGCGGACAAAATGTAGTACATAAATTTTCATTCGAATAACAAACAGTTTCTCTTAAGTACTAACCATCTTGTTCCTTGTAAGCATTCCAGTTAGTTGGTGGAGAGCAGCCCCATGGGCGAGAAATGTTCCTGGCTTTCGCCAAAAAATCGGCTAGAGATATGGCGGAAGGTTATGCCTGACCACAAGGTAATTTTTGGATCTTTGGTTATCCAGAACGCTTCAGGAGTTTTGCTAGCTGATGTTTTCGATTCCTGTGCGACGATAGTGACTCTCACTTCAAAATCTTCGCTGTTATGTCTTTGTGTTTTAGGCGCTTCTAAGTTCGGCATTTGGTTTCACTTCGAATTTACCGTCTAGGTGTTCTTTTATACTGGTGCAGAGTGGCATACCTGTTTCGCTAAGACATTCCTCAGCATGGGCTTACATGAGAACAACTATACTTACTTAGATACTTGAATGGTCCATTTTCACTCGCTTTGCAGGCGCCAACCTAATTTTAATTTGCTAGTTTGGCGACTGTGGTTTCCTGAGATTCCAAGGTCAGCTCGGCCGAAGCATTCCTTAGGTCGTTACCATTCCAGGCAGCCGCCTCTCTTGTGGATCGGAGGGAAATTTGGCACCAGGCAACGACTTTGATACCAGGATAGTGATGACTCCTGATCTTGGTTTACTCTTATCTGCTTTTCCGATTGGAAACGTCGGCCTCCTTCTCATATTGGAAGACCCTGCTGGGAGAATGAATCGCCCGCTGTACATCGCAGCTCAACACCCAAGCGTACATCCCACTACGGTGAGGCGGCAAACCGTTAGGAGGAGATCAAGTATATTGTACCTAACGTGCTGCTCATGCGTTAGGTTCATGAAATTATATTGATACATATCTTTATAGACTCTTCAATGTGAAAGTAAATATAATTGATTTTGGTAGCAGCATATCTAACCGGTTCTGTGAGTCGGCTGTGTTTCTTGTAATTTCGATAATCTACGTGGTGTCAAATTATCTTATTTAACCAAAAAATCAGTTTTAGTTTTCAACCCGTTCTAGATCTAAGTTCTCGAAGTATTTTAGGTATTACTGTTTTGATTTCACGATTTTCTGTTTACTTCTTTTTCGTCTTAAACTTCGAGTCCTAATAAGGAAGGCATATTCTTTTCCACATTATTCCTTTCCATTCTATCTATTCTGTCATTGCTATGTTACAGTTCATAAATGCAATTCTACAACGTGCTTTCACACTCAGCTTTCAAATAGAAATCATTTCCATGTCAGTTGTTGTGCTGAGAGAGAAAAATTATTGCGAAAGTATGGGTTCTTTTCTTTCATTTCCTTAGTCTCAATCGGAGTGTAATCTCCTTCGCCACCTCCAGTTTAACGTAGAATGAGCAATTTTCCGCAGTTTCTTTCATTAAACCATTATTTTGCAAATTTCAAACTAAATCAGAGATTTTTCTAAAGGTTCCGCGAAATTACCAGGCTTCTTGGAAAGACAATACGCAGCAGGAATGCTCGACTAAAACATATCCGTGTTGTTCGTCGTTGTTCTCTACTACGTTAATTTTGAAGACCGTCCCGTTTATAAATTGAGTTGATGATGATCCGAGGGATAGCAGAGTTCTCAGTGCGACTCAGTAGGCAGATGGGAACCAGTCGCCATTGTCAACAATGCATTTGTCCGGTCTGTACCGCTGGCTTGCTGAGCGGTACAGCTGGCCTATTCGTCTTTCTGTCCATTTCTCAAGTGTTCCATTTGCTTGTACGTCTGGAATCAGTAGTACTGATTTTGATACTCTTCTATTATGTTTAAACTTTATGTAAAATTGTATTATTAAGGATTTTGTTCGTATTTGGACATGAAATGTTGGCTGAACTTGGCCAATTGATACTATGCTAGTGAGCCGATGCTTAGAATAAGTGGTGAATTCTTCTAAGTGTGATGGAGATTTGCATAATCTGTTATTAGCACAAGTAAATTTTTCCATTTGGTCACTTTTAGCCTTTGTTCCACTATTTTATTTTCATTTAAGGATTGGAATTTGAAAGCAGAGGGCCTTGTGGGCAATTC